GAAGCAATCAACAAATACACATGCCAAATGACCATAAACACCAAACTGCTTTATTGGTGACTCAGCAATCAGTTTGTAAGCACTAGAAAAAGGCTTCATGTAAGAACTTTTTACAACAACAATGGATAAATGGATAGCAGCAAGAGGAAGAGAGAGAGGGAGGATGAATTGAAGTCATTTGAAGAGTTATTTGCAGCATATCGGTTGAAGGTGTATGACCGTCAGGCCTCTATAGGTGATGTTTCTTCTGCAGGTTGATGAGGAGCTGTGGCCAGACCCAGCTAAGTGGCGAGATGCAGCATAAGCACTTTTCTTTTTTTCTTTTTTTTTGTATTTATTTTTCCTCAAAGTATGCATAATTCTCTACACACAGATCACCATAAAAGATGAGTGTGCTTTAGATAAAGCACCATGAAGTGTGAAGTGTGTGCCATTTGGGGCAAATGTTTGGTTTTGGTAAGTGTTTATGTTGTGTTGGGTGCAATGCTTCATTTTGCAAGATATATGAGGTGTTTTGCACTTTGTATGGTTTTGTGAATTGTGTTTAGTGTTTTGAGAAAATAAGCCCTTCTTTACAGTTTTTAGAGCAATTGGAAAAAACTGTATAGTACAAGACACTTTGTCCAACCAACTACACAGCATTTTACTTATCAAACCCAAACTCATCTTTTATGGCGTTCCGTATGTATGATTGCTGAGTCAACAAAAAAGCAGTTTGGTGTTTATGTTCATTTGGCATATGTATTTGTTGATTGGTTCATGTGTGTAGCATTTTTAATGGCAGTGTTTTGAAAATGGCAAACAAGTGAATATGTCAGATTTCTGTGTCTACTTGGAGAACCGTGTGCAGTGTTTTGCAAAAAGTGCCAAGTTGAATTGCAAATAGGGTGCAGAGTGTGAGATTAAATAATTCTGCTTGTGTTAGCAACTGAAAAAAACTGTGATATGATAAACATTGAGAATTCTGTTTTAGATCTGGAGGCCGGTCGCAATATCCTGACTGAGGAGAACCACGGCCTGAAGAGAACTGTGGAAGAATATGGTAGGTACAATGGGAAAGTCAATTCTTTAACTTTAATAAATCCTTTGGGCACATTTTCTACAAGCGGCTTTCAACATTTCCCTGCTTCTTGCTCTTTGTATGATTTATTAAAGGGAGCAAGATGCTTGTCTTAATTTGTGTTTCTCACTTCAAGAAGCCCTTGTTTCAATTCTCTTACAACATATCAATTGCTCTGAATGCTTTGAAGCAACATATCAGAGTATACACATTGACTTGAAATGTATATCAAAATTCATTTGAACATCTAACTCAATATCCCTCTCAAAGCGTGTTGTCACTTATTTGGAATTCTTGAAAATAATCAAAATGACAGCTTCACAGTCAAGTTCCCTGTATGCTTTTGATACAGTAATCAACTATGAATAAGAAACAAACACCAATGTCATTGATAGTTAAACACAAAAGACAATGGGAATTATGTTTGAGATATGTTTGAGAAAAAACCTGGCTTTAGGAAGAAATTACCTGAATAAAACTCTGAGAGCCTTGGGTAAGTATGATGATGAAATCAATTGTTCAGCCTGTGGGCCTTTATATCAAAGAGCAAACATTCAGATTTATCATACGGTAGATACCACCTTGGCAATTTTTGTTTTTGCTTAACCATCTGTTAAAGGTAGGGTAGGTAAGTTTGAGAAACCGGCTCGAGATCGCTAGAATTTGAAAATACACAACCGGAGAAAATCTGCCACTTCCTTATAGAGCCCCTCCTCCAACACACACAAACGCGCACATGACCAATGAGGGCACGAGATAAGTTTGTGCCCCGATGGAAGGCTGACAGGCAGGTAGGCCATCCAGTTATTTTAGCTGGGCCGGCTTAAATGATTGGTCATACTTTTTACAGTATTACGGCTTCCACAGATAACATTTTTTTATGGATTTTTTGTCAAAGCACTTAAGATATTCATTGCTATCGGGATGTTAAGAGCATTCCATGGAATATAACAAAAAGTGTATCTCGAGCCGGTTTCTCAAACTTACCTACCCTACCTTTAATGTATATATTAAAGGTGTCCTATCATGCAAAATGCACTTTTTTATGTCTCATAAATATGTGTCCATGGTGTGTAAGGGATCTCACAAAGTTTCAGAAAACAAAACCCTCTCTCTTTTCCTCCGTACCCAAATCTCTAAAAACGGGGGTACAACGGAGCTGGAAGATTTGCTGCAGATATAACGTAATGTCGGAAATGTGGCCTGGCTTTACACCCACGGCCCAATCAGAAACATTGTTATCAGAAACAATGTTCAACGTGTTTTGGAAGTAATATGGTCTCTGTTTACATTAGCAAGCATCGCTAACACTGAGAGCTAACCTGTACTGGAGAGAGTATGTGTAAAAAAGCAGGAAATAAAAAGTTACTCATCTTGTGGTAAACCCGAAAAGGAAAAAGCATTTGAGCTCCATACTGTTTCAGAAATAATCCTTGGTTTGGAACATAATATGTCGTTTCATCAGCATTTAGCTGAGTATGTGGGTAGAATTCTGAGCAGGCATGAGCCCCCCCCCCCCCCCCTTTTTTAGGTGATCTGTTTGGTATTTTGAGCAAAACACTTAATAGACATGTTTTATATATATTTGTATATATCTGAGACCTTTAAGGTTTTATCGTTCTTTCTGTTCTCCAATAACAAGGATGGACACTTTTTCAATGTCCTTCTGTCATGACTTTGTTTGTTGATAATTGAGATTATTTCAGTTCTTTCTTTCATCAACAGTTCACTATTTACAGCAAGGATGGGTTTATTTCAGCGGTAGTTTCTATCGTATTTCTTCCACCATGAAGACCTGGCAAGACAGCAGAAAGGACTGTCAGCAAAGAGGTGCAGACCTGATGATTATCGACAGCCAAGAAGAGCAGGTAGGAATGTGCATGTGGTTCAAGCCTATTACAAGCCTATTAAAGCATGGAAACATGTCACAGTGGACGCACAAAATACAAATATGAATCGGAAAATGTGCATAATATGTCCTCTTTAAATATTAGTTGATTACTGTATGTTTCTCTTTGAAAACAAGGATTTCACAGGACAATACAAAAATAGAATTTGGATTGGACTGACGGACAGAGACACAGAGGGAGAATGGAAATGGGTAGATGGGACACAACTTACAACAAGGTAAATGTATTACCCTTTTGTTCACTTTAAATCAAATTTAGTGTTGAAACAAATGGTCCTCGAACCACAGAAGTACTTTTTTTAAAACATCATTTTCAAAAATGTTTTTAATATTGTTGTTTGAACTTTCTGTTCATTAAAAAACGTGTTGATTTGTTTTCTGTTAAAGATTCTGGCATTCCGGGGAACCCAACAATTATCAGAATAAAAATGAAGACTGTGTGAATATAAACCACTACCAAAACAGCTGGAATGATGAAGTATGTGAAAATGAATATTTCTGGATCTGTGAAAAGAAAATGTAGCTCTACATACTCACTGGTTTCACACCGTAATGACAGCAACTTGAAGAATATTAAGATATCATGTATTTCGCCCCTTCAGCTAAACTGAAGTCAGCACTGAACCGTTTATGCAAAGTGACACATTGGACTCAAATATCCCACTGTGTGTTCTGAGTTCGGCTATAATCAACATTTTAAAGACAATGTGAAAAGGTGTCATTTGATTGTATATGTTCTTTATACTGATGTGTTTGAGAGAAAACACGCTCATGTTTGTTTGCAGATAATGTCAAATGTTATATACAGCATATATTTAAACAGCACAAAGGCTCTTATGATATTATGGATTGTTCTTTAGGTTGATTGCAGTAGTAAATATATGTAATAACAATACAGGTTTGCAGTTTATAAGAAAGATAATGGCTTTAACTTTTCTTCAAAATGTGGCTGAAAATATGGTGTTTTCTATGTGATGGAACTGTAAGAAAAAGTGTATTTTTTCTTAACATTGTGTGAAATGTTCAGCCTGTCCTCCTACGAAAAAACGACCATATAGGCCGATTGTTCATGCCCTTATTACGACCCAGAGACACGTTTTAAAGTGTATGTTGTTTCTTACACGACCACTAGAGGTGCTCTAGTGGTCCTGTAAGAAACAACATGCTTCTGTGACTTATATCTGTTATCTTCTTTCTAGCAGACATTTCTCATACACTTCACTTCCTTTTACTGTGTCAATAATTATCTATTCCTTTTTTTCACACTTTGACCATATTCAGCAGAAGCTTTGAAGGAAATAAGAACTGAAAGTCAAAAAAAAAATCTGAAGGTTCCTAGGTTCAGTACTTATTGTTTGCCAGCGCCTGGTTTAGAAACCCAATTAGTGTTTTTGTGTTTTCAAGCAGATTTAATAATTCAATATAATTCTTAACTTATAATTGTCTCATTACTCTATCACAAAAAAGGGACTGAGTTGCATAATGCAAAAAGGTCAGATAGCTAATAATAAAATAAGTTAACAGTTAAGAAATTATCACGGCGCGTGCAGGTGTCTTCTGCGTGTCTTGACCATAGACTGTCTTGACCTATGGTCTTGACACAGATTATTAAGTGAAAACACCTGCTCCATTCATTCATTAATCCAGCAGGTGGCACTAAAGCACTTCAGCCCTAACTGTAAAATTATTATTGGACCTTGACAAAGTGCAGTGCTGCATTTTATGAGATGCAGCATAACCCCATTATCTAATGTTAAAGTCACAGGCAAAATACAGGGAACTAAACACAATACTTTGTTGATTGTATTACTTGAGTTTTTTTCAACTGACTTTTAGTTTCATGCCAAAATTGATGGTTTTTATATCAGAAAAATTAGATTTCAAATTGGAATTAATATTTTTAAAAGATCAATATCATGCTTCATTAAAGTAAAGCCAAGTCATAATTTAATTTTTTTTTAAAAGTAGGATCTGCACAGGTTACAAATTGAGCATCATTAAAAGCAGCTAGTTATGATTGGAGGAACAAAGGCAAATTACTCAAAAATGAGGAAGTAGAGGGTGTGAGAGAATGTTGGGTGTATGCTGAGAAAGTCATAAAATAAAGTAAGATCATAACTAAGTGCCATTTAAAGAAAACACCATCATCACTCTGCAGAGGCCAAACTAAAGAGATGGTTTCCCTTGAAGAAGAACATGAGCTCTCCTCGATATACGAAAACTTTGAAGATGTTTCAGCCAGGAATGCTGCATCCCGCCGCTCTGTTGAAGACTTCAAGGTGCCTGCTGCAGCGCCTGGTAAGACAGAAATCCTCGTCAAACAATTTGGAGTTTCAGTTTTAAATAAACATGAAAAACAATGTAGACAAGCATGGACAAAATCAATATCTTAGTCTCAAGTTCATTTGTAATAATATATTTAAGTATAATACGTTATTGTTATAAAAAATATCTTCTTCTGTACTGAGCACTGTTTTCATGTTTTGCTTCCTTTGTGTTTTATTCATTTGACTTTATTTTAGTTAGTTTGGACTAGGGTGTTTACTTAAAGCAAATGTTGAAGTCATTAACTTTAAAGCTCCCTTTAGGTTAAATAGTAAGAAATATTTCTTTAGGATTTCACACATTAATACTTGGTGTATTAATCAAATGTTCATTAATAGTATGACGTTTTTCAAACAGCGACTTTATGCTGGCTCTAAAAGCAAGTCAATCTCCATAAAACCAATGTTTAAATGCCCAACATTACTGTAGAAATAACCTGTTTACAATTCCCAAGCATAACGAAATGATGTTCTTGTATACAAGTTTAACAAAAATTAAGAAATTAATTGTAATACTTCAAATTGCCACATTTAGCTTTTTTTTATGAATTACAGTTAAGTGTTGTTTCAAAGCCTGAACAATGTGGGCGTTTATGCTTCCTGATGACCTTGATGACCTATTTATTTTTTACTTGATACGAATCTATGGTGGAAACAGTCTTGAGTTTGCAAGAAACGAGGAAGTGGTTATAATAATGTAAGTTGCATAAACACACAGAAGATAAGTGTAAAGTTGTGGTCATCAAAAATAAAGAAGAAGAAGAGGCAGCTGACACCTCGCTGCAGCTCTCTGGAAACACGTTTCACACGTTTGTCATACTTTGGAGGGTCAAATATTTTGGAGTTTGTATTGTAAGGCAGAGATGACTTTGGACTATGAAGACATCCCTGATGCTTTGTCCAGGAGTAAGTAACTTTTGAGGTTGTCTAACAGTATCATAAAGTATTTGTGTTCCTGTTTATCAGAATCAGGTGGGGTTTTGCTTAGAAGAAATTCCGTAAATAGGCTACAAACTAAATATGAAGTTATTTTTAATCTATTTCATCCATGTACATTAATAAAAATGGTTTAAGTAACCCAATATCAAGCCTGGCTGTCTAATAGTCCTGGTAATGTTGCATGTGTATGTCTGTTTTCTGCACAGAGACCAAACTCATGAGACTGGTTTTGGTTAGCTTCGGACTCCTGTGTGTCCTGCAAGCTGCTCTCAACATTTCCCTGCGTCTTTCTTTCTGTGAGTGATCTGACATTTTTTAAGTTTTCCATGAGACCCTAACCTCTGTGTTTACTGCAGTAACACAGACATTATCTTCCTTCTCTTTCAGATAGTTATGGTCGAGGAATGCAAGAATTTGAGGGAGAAGATTTAAAGAGGAAGCTGAGTACTTTTGGTAAGTATTGAGAATGAGACTTATTATACAGCTTTGCAACATGGAAACAAAAATATATCATACAAAGGTTTTCTAAATGTATCTTCACTCATTTGTTTCACTCTGATTTGACAGTTTTTCTTCAAATGTGTTATCTTGTTAGATCATTACTCCCAACAAGGATGGGTGTATTTCAACCACAGTTTCTATTACATTTCTGCTATTCGAAAGTCCTGGCAGGAGAGTAGAGACGACTGTCAGCAAAGAAATGCAGACCTGATCATTATCAACAGCAAAGATGAACAGGTGTGTAAGAGCATGAAATCTGTCTCTGAGACAAATGAGGGTCCTCGCCAAGGTGGAGGATTGTTTATATTTTATATATGTTTATTATGGTCTCTTTCTCTTACTGTAAAAAAGGAATTTGCGAGGCGCTTCAAACAGGCCACATGGATTGGACTTACTGACAGAGAGTCAAATGGGACTTGGAGATGGGTGGATGGGACTGCACTGGAGACAAGGTTCAGTTGTTCACTCATTGTAGGAAAAATAACTCTTCAGTTCAGTCATTTCTTTGAATTTGTGACTAAATGTTTCCAGGTGTACATCATCTTTTACTGTCACAAATGAGGTTTAATTTGATTACATGCTTATTTGTTTGTGCTTTCTGTTAAGAACACATTATTTGTGGTTTGGTTTCAGCTATTGGCAAGATGGGGAGCCCAACAAACATGAAGGAAAAGATGAAGATTGTGTAGAAATAAGGTTTTTTGAAAAGGAAAACAACTGGAATGATGTACAATGTGAACTGCAAAGATTCTGGATCTGTGAAAAAGTGATGGCTCTATAACTCATGAGAACCAAAGCCCACAAGATTGTGATCGATAAGCTGCAGGATGAAGTGCTTATCATCATGTCGATTGGGACATTCCGGCTATGACTTCATCATTTCTGAACAACAGCCCATCATACGGCTGTGCTGTCTTTAAGTCAGAAGGTGGTGGGTTCAATCCCAGCCATGCAGTTATCATGTTGATTTATCCTAGTGTGTATTGTGCTGCTTGTTAAATGTGTTCTCAAACCTGTTAAAAATCACACCTTAAACTCCTGTTACTGAGTAGATAGTGACAAAACCTTTAATAGCAACACCATTTTTTATGCTAATAAACATGTATATCTGGCTCTTGAGAGCTCTGAAGTGAAGTGTACGTCTTGTGCCAATTCCATCAATCAAAGTCAATCAAAGTTTATTTATTTAGCCCAATATCACAAATTGTACTTTTGTCTCAGGGGATTTCAGTTTATACAGAACAGGAATACGCCATAATTTCCGGTGTTGTAAGCTTATAAAATATGTATTGAAGAGAGAAGAGTCACTGTGTTTCTCCTTCCACTGTGTAAAACTTGACACAAAGCTTCCAAATAAAAATGGGACTGGTCAGAGGAAGTAAAATAAAATATGATGGCAACTCAAAAATATTGTTAAAGACACGTGCACTTGTTGAAACTTTCAGAGCAATTGAAAGTACATTTGTTATAAATGTTGTCGTATCCACAGAATACAAGGCTACCAAGCAAAACCACATTGTGTGAAAATTAATAAATATATACATTTAAGTGAAAATAAATGTAGAAATACATTAAAGATATATAATAATGTGTGTTCTGTTTTATTCTCAAGTTGTATTATTTAATGTATACATTCATTTATTTTTTCCAGATTTATTTATTCCTGTATTTATGTTTTTCTTATGTGCTATCCTCCATAGTTGTTAGCTCGTTGTGGTTATAATGGTACAAATTCACTCCAAATCACATCACAGACCTATGGTTGGGCGTTCATTGTTTTAAAAACATATTGGTGGTCCAGAGGTCTATGCATTGGTTTGTCATCATGTAGGTGCTCGAGGTTCAACAAACAGGGGAGGGACGTCTTTTGTCTTCTGCTATACTGAAATGTGGCGAAATTGTCCCCACCGATTTTTCTAACAGTCACGCCCATGACTACTATACTACAATTGTTTCACTCGTTATAACGCTTTACCCAGTGTTACCAGCAGAGGGCGGTACGCACCCATCAGAGGGCACTTCCGGAAACAAAGACCGAGCGTAACGTCCAATCAGACAAGACTTCAATTTTAAATGAGACGGTAGTTCCTTCTCCATGTTACTGAAACCCACAACAAACACCGAAACTGTGACCCCATCTGTTGTCAGGACGGAGCTTTGAATGATACGACTTTTTTCCTGCTAGTGGGTAGATTTTGAGCTCCAACTGCCTCGCATCGACAGCCGTTTCATGGGCACCCAGGAGGGAGAGAGAGGTAAGGCAGCCGAGGCTCTGTGCTCCCGTCCGGGGGAAAGCTAGCGACACGTATCGTTATGTTTCTGCTAACATTAGCTGCTAGGTTTGTGTTGCTTTGCTACTGTCACCAAGCCTGTCATTACATGAACACACATATTCTTTAGAGATGAATTACAGTTTTGTTTAAGTATCACAGTTTAGTGTTCTCTGGTGATATTCCCGTTAGCAAGCAAGTAGCAACGGGCAGCTAGCTACTTTAGAGACAACTCAGCCGGTAAAGTTGTGTCAAAACCTACCAGAGGTGACTTAAAAGTGTCAGACTATACTTTGCTTGTTGTTTTAGCATCCCAAATCCACGGCCATCGTTATAATTAGTTAAAAACGTAATGTATGTCATCCACCGGTAACGTTAGACTTTTTAACGGTAGCGTTTTCAGTTCATCTTTATCATTAGATTCAAAATACATTAGTAAAATAACCCAAACAACTAACAGTACCTTGATGAAAATGAGTGTAAGATTAGTAGTAAGGTAGATATTGTCTTTAAGACGGGGAGAGATGACTCCCCGCTCTCAAACTTAAGTTTGCCGCGGATGGGCATTCATGATTAATAGTATCACCCCTAGAGGAGGTACTGATCCTGCTTTTATAAATAAATAAATAACAAGTGAATGTCACAATAATGAGCCATTCAGCTAACCGTCTCACTTTCTTTGGAAACAACGTCCTGTTTTTATTGGGGAGGCAGACAGTGTCCAAACTTTAAAGACTGTTTTGCTGAAGACTTTCCTTTTGGCATTTTGATTGTATTTAGATTTCCTTTTTATTTGTATCTATTTTAATTGTATTTTACATTCTATCTTGTCTTTTTATTATGTTCTTGTAATTGTATTTATCTTTTAGCACTGACATTAATGTTTGTTAATCTGTGAAGCCCACTGAGACCAACATGTTTTGTGATATTAGGCTATATAAATAAACTTTGATTTGATAAACTGGCTCTTTATACATGGTACATGTAACCCTATTCTCTATAGTTATAGGAAGACTTTCTAGATATTAAATCCAAATGTCTGTTTAAGGACTTGATTGTTGGTGATGAACAAGACTTTTGCTTTTCTTTCTACAGATTGGGTAGAGGTGGCAAATGATCTCCTCAGCAAGTGTGCCATAAACCTAAGGCTGAGGAAACTGACGGACTGTGATGCAAATGTTTTCATTGCTCTGTACGAAAACATCTTGGGGGAGAAGGTTCCAGGTAAGAGCAAGCTGCAGATCAACCAAATGTCGACACAATTGGTTAAAAAAATAATTGGCACCTATTTTGATTTTTTTTGTTCATTTTTTCTTGAGTAGAATTACAACTATTGACCGTTTACAGCTTATTTGTGATGAATTGCTGTCTAATTGGATAATATACTGAATTTCTAAAGCATTTGACGTGCTGGTGAGACTGACCTAACAAGCTTTATTAAGCAAATGATTATTAATGTATATAGCAAAAGATAATCGATTGAAATCTGATGAAAATAAATATTACTTTTAGACCAAACGATGCATATACATTTTAATCACAAGGCCAGTGTAGGCTTGTACAAGCTGTGAGGTTTTAGTCCAGTGCATGATCTCCTGAGTGTGCTTAGTATGTGAGGAATGCTTCCTGAGACCATTACATATGCCATCATGAGACTGTTACGGGCCGTCTCCACGGCAGCGTTAAAAAAATCTTGGAGGTGGGCGTATCTGAAGCTTGAGGATTTTTTGCGAGCAACCAATCACATGAATCTCCCGCCCGCGACATACGAAGCAAAAAAGCCCGAAGTAAACTGGATATAAACTCCCCAAAACAGGCGAAAACCTACCACTGTCTCTGCCACCTCCCTCCATGCCTGGCTCCTCCGGTTTATATCCCGGTAGGTCTGGTCATAAAGCACCGGGTGATTGATTCGCTACCGCTAATTTCTCCTCCATTTTTTGGAATATGAGGAAATGACCTGCGGTATTTCTCTCCCAGCATACACGCCGTTTGATTGGCTAGAGCTTGAACTGTCAGATTTGCGTACACGGGATTTGATTGGCTGACGCTTCCACCTCAGCCTCAAAAGTTGAACATTGTTCAACTTTGGATCTTGAAAATCCTGAGAATCTCCGCTCGCCTGCCCACAATGCATTTCGGCGAAAGCGAAAAAAAGTGACGTCACCCCATTCAAAGTGAATGGGCAGAAGCGTTTCAAGATTTTTTAACGCTGCCGTGGAGACGGCCCGTTAAGGTTGCTGAGCTCTTTCCTGCCTTGTTAAGTACAGGAAGTAAAAGCCCAATGTATTCAAGGAAGTGTGTATGCATGTTGCTGTACGGTTGTGTGGATTCCACTGTTTCTCTGGTCTCATACATGCTTTGGAGAGGTGTCATGCTTTTCCGGTTATTACCCGTCCCCTTGTGTGTTATGAAGGTTTTTATGCATGTAAACGGTGTGCAGAGTCAAAACCCTCAAAGTACACCCTGTAGCGAGTAAAACTCTAACACAGAAAATACCTCCCCAAAACGCCTCGTTGGAGATACGTCATTGTCCATTTGATTCTTCCGGGTACGGCATGATGTCATGCCGTACCCGGAACGAAATGGACCAATCCGTGGAGCCGTTACGTTACGTCCGCGGAGCCGTTACGTTAAGCCCCCGCTGATTGGTCCAAATTGACCAATCCACGGACTTCCTCACACACAGGCAGCTCTGCTGATTTCTCCTCCCTGGCTGCAGGCTGATAACAGACAGTTGGGACCGCGGCAACATTCTCTCTGCAGACCCATTCTCACAGCGTTTATCAACCTTTTTCTTACTCAATATCAAGCCACACTTATTGTTTTTACTTCGGCTGTGACTTTGTGTGTGCTCAGGATGAGTTTGGCTGTGTTTCGCTATGTATCCTAAACAAGGAAACAACACCTTCACGGAGCTCACCGCGATTCACAACGTCCCGACCAATCAGAGCACACTGTGCTCACAGGGAGGGTGGGGGCTGGAGCTATTGGAGCTACAACGAGCCGTTAAAGGCAGAGAGTGAAATTCAGTGAATACAAGTAGTTTACAGAGATGCTGTATGAGAAACCAATGTGAGTTTGGAAAAATGCACAGTATAAATCTATTCTAGACCTCAACAATGGAATTATGATCAGTGGAAATGGCCATGACACCTCTCCTTTAACATTTGTCTATGTGTATATATTTGTTTAGATTACATTGCAGCGCCATGCAGTCAAGAGGATGAAGCCCATAACGTTCAGTCTGTAATCGATTCACTCTCCCTGGATTACCTTCAGATCAGCCTCTCACACATTACAGGTATAATGCACTTTCACTCTTTGCAACAGTAATTATTAAGGCATGTATAAAATAAGAACATCTAAAATGAACTGCTACATACTTCAGATGGTAGAAAATCTTACTTTCAAGTCACTTTATTTTTGGCTGCATGACCCCATATCCTTCTGTTCTGAAGGGGTAAACCAAAACACAAGGTCACTTTAACAATCGACCCTTTTCTTCTGCAAAAGTACTGAAAGTAATACTGATAATTGCTGTGTGTTTGCAGGAGAAAATGTTGTCAGAGGGGACAAAGATTCAACCGAGAACCTCCTGGAAATTTTTGATGGCCTCCTGGAATATCTCAAGGAGGAGATAAGCGAGGAGTCACAGAATGGAGGTAGTCACATTCATTTCTCACTTTTCCTTCATCAACTTGACAGATTTTTATCTTACACATTTTTATTTTTATCTCATAGATTGGTATTTTATCTTCAAAATGTCAAAAATAATCGTATTCCAGCTTCTTTAATGTGGATGCTTTCTGGTTTCCATACTCCTCTATGACAGTAAACTGCATATTTTTGCCTTGGACAAAACACACACATTTAAGTATGTTTTCTTGAAAAAACATTAGATTATAAGTGACATCAGTCCTCTAATCATATTCCAACTTCTGCCTTAAAGGTAGGGTAGGTAAGTTTGAGAAACCGGCTCGAGATACACTTTTTGTTATATTCCATGGAATGCTCTTAACATCCCGATAGCAATGAATATCTTAAGTGCTTTGACAAAAAATCCATAAAAAAATGTCATCTGTGGAAGCCGTAGTACTGTAAAAAGCACGACCAATCATTTTAGCCGGCCCGGCTAAAATAACTGGATGGCCTACCTGCCTGTCAGCCTTCCATCTGTGCACAGACTTATCTCGTGCGCTCATTGGTCATGTGCGCGCTCGTGTGTATTGGAGGAGGGGCTCTGTAAGGAAGTGGCAGATTTTTTTCAAATTCTAGCGCACTCGAGCTGGTTTCTCCAAAATTACCTACCCCACCTTTAAGGATCTGGTATTTCCAGTTTCCTTGAAAAAAAAACAAAAAAAAAGGTTTGATTTTTTACTGACAGTCACAGTCTCCGGTGAGACTGCCTGTTTGCCCTTCTGTATGAACAGGACATAATGTATCCTGAACCCAGTTTAGGACCAGCTGGTGCAGGATTTTAAAGGGAACAGTCGACTCTTTTCATTGTGCAGAACTGAGCATGCCTTTGTGTGAGTGGGCTGTCCCCTGACCGCTGCCAAACGGCTAATAGTAGTTAATGACTTTGTCTGCACTTACAAATGATGTGAGTGTCTGAGGCTCCGTTTAACCGAAAACGAACCGAATTCGATATCAAAAAAGTCTTCCGTCCAGATCTACGGAAGATGGAACGGGTTGTATCCGCTACAGTTCTCTATCGTATGGACGGTTAGTTCACACGAGGTCGTAACGGAACCGCGGAAACGGAGCCCTCAAACGATAACGGGTAGATCTGCGGACGGAACGCTCTGGGGAGTCAAACGGCTCCGTGTGTACGCCCGATACGCCATAGCCCCGCCTCTCCCCACCTCTCCTGCTCACCCCCTCAACAACAACAACAACAACAGTGGTCCAAGTGTTTCGAGCCAGGTCCCGGTATCTCGCAGGACAGTGCACCCAGCAGGAGCCTCCAGCAGACCCCCCCGCACGGCAGAGTTTTCTACCCACCTTATCGTTTATCGTTTGAGGGCTCCGTTTCCGCGGTTCCGTTACGGCCTCGTGTGAACGAACCGTCCATACGATAGAGAACTGTAGCGGATAACACCCGTTCCGTCTCCGTGTAAACGGAGCCTGAAAGGCCTAATCAAACGTCCTGCATTTGTAATAATGAAATTGGTTCAGTACAAGAGAAGCTCTTGGTGGTCAGTTTACTGGGGCTGAAGAGTTTAATAATCTAAGCCGTTGTCACATTGGTTCAGTGTTGTGCCTTTCATTAGTGTCTAACAATGACAAGTTGTGCTTCAACTTTTAGTACTCCGCTTAGTTAGGCCTAGTTGTTCCTGTATTTCGCTTCTGAATTTACTTTTGTGCTCAAACCCACAAGATGGTCTGAGTTGTTTATCAGTCTCTTAGATCTTTATCGTTTTGAAGTGTGAGCTTAAGGAAAACAGACATGTTGTCACTCAGAATGTTGAATTAAAGGTCATGTGTTTTTAGTTCCTCTTTAAAATTATTCAGACATTGATTTTGTAATCCCAAGTTTTGCTTTCTCTTTGTTGTTGGTTCTGTGTTTTTTCTTCAGTTTTTTTGTAGTTTTCTGTCTCTCCCTCTGGGTCATTTGTATAGTTCATCTTTTTTCCAGAGGAACTGATTGACAGTCTCAATGAGGATGTCCCTGTTGAAGCCAAAGAGCCTACCAGCTGTGATGCCCCAGCGCAAAAAGAAACTAAACTGGAGGGAGCCTCGTTGTCTTCCAGTGGAGAGTAAGAGCTTTTTTTACTTGCACTGCAAACACTAGTGCACACATGTTGATTTTGGAGATCAATTGTGAATTTATATAAATGATACATTTTATTCATGGTAAAATGTTAACTAGTTGACAAAGTCAGTCGGTATGTTATATATTATTTTGAAATGCTAAAGGTAATTATTGAAAGGAAGTTAAGAAGGGAGTGCAAAGTTTTAAAATCTTGTAAAAGTAGTTTGATACTAACAATATTTATATAAATATACTAATATTTATATTATATGTCTTTATTAAAACATTTTCTGATGAAAATAGTCATAACATCTAGATATTCATAACAAAAAAAGCATTTCCTATTCATATTAAAATGCCTTTTTTTAAACTAATTGACAGTAGACAGAGAGAGTGGACCAAATGTGATAAATGTGTTTCTCAGACTCAAACTTGCAACAGCCCACACAACCTTGCTCTTAAATTAAGAAAAGGCCAAGCATGGTAGGACAAAGAAAACTCTCAAACAAATGAAAAAATACCAAATCTTCTGTTTTGTTTGAGCTCTTCCATTTAAAAAAAAAAGATGACAGTCAGGTTTGCTCCACATGACTTCAACCATCATCAGCTTAGGAGACAATTCTGGCTGCGTATCCTGTTGACTCAACAGACAATTAGGCAAACATTGGAGCTGTAGTGTAAATATTAGAGCCGGAGCGGGTAACTTTAGTCCGCACCCTCTGGCAGAGAGACAAATTACCATATGACAGAGATCATAGAGACGGAGCCGCGGAGGCCCCAGATCAAAAAAGAAAGGTTCAGTTTAATAACAGTACATGCTTTCGTCAAATGCTTTCAGACTATATATATATATATATATATATATATATATATATATATATATACAAATACAAATGCTCATTCTGACAATTTTACACGCATATATTCTTTCATAAAAAATAAAATACATTTTGAACAGACATGGATGTAAACTGCAACTAGTCTGATAGGAGGAGGCATACAACCGCGGGGCAGTAATTCTAGTTTTATGTGTCGGGTGCAGGTTATGGCACTGCTGGTGTATTCTTTCTATTCATACACTATTACATACATTTTTTTGGAGACAGTAAGAGCTATTCAAATATAAAACCGTTGTACTGGGAGTGCCAAAAAAAACACTGATTATATCCCAGTAGCACAATGCAGCTTTTAACATAATCAGTGTGTAGATGTTCCTGCTGTGAGGATTTCAATATCTGTGGACAAGCATGTTATATGGCTCATAACAGCAGCTCTGCCATGACTCATTCTGGCTCAATGACAAGGCTCAGATCTGGAAAACTCACGGTTTAACACGCAAGTCTAATTATTATCATCTCTTTGGTCCTAAGTACTCGTTAAATTCTGTTATCAAGAATATGTCAATTTGAAGAACAGTTGTAGGTCATATCCTTTTACTATGTAGTATTTTTGCGAATAAATATCTAATCCCATATCACAACAAACCATATTATTATGTTGTATCGTTTAGGTCCGCTGTGTATTCCAGTAAACATTCCCTCCATACCTGGAATGCTGAGGAGGCGGGATCAGCCAGTGAGCTCATTGGGCTGGGAGTCTCGGCACGCACATTCACAGCCAAACAAGACGGTGAGACACTCAAACGCTGCCCGTCTTTACCTCAATTCATGTGTTTTTCGGCAAATTACTTACTGTCTATATTTCTACATTTCTACTGTTGCATTAAGATTTGTGAGGAGTTCATTGTTGCCTTAGTTAAAGATTTTTCAAAATGCATTTCTGTTTGAAAATTGTTTAGGCATTTGAGAGAACATAAGTTGTTTTATGCACACATTTCTGGTTTTTTATTACATTTTATAATAGTGTGTTTACCTGTAGTTGTCACAGTATACAGTAGTGACCTAACCAGTTGCGTGGCTTCACTGCAAACCACACATATATTCTGATACAATTTAGCATCAGCAATCAGTGTTTGGCAGACAAAGCATAACCTTGTCGACATAATCCAATACGATTACAGTTATTTGTCTTCCCTGTCACAATTTGTTATCAAGCTGACGTTTTCAGCAATCTGAGATATAAATATTACCATAGAGGAATATTTATATTTCTTTGGGAGTGTTATGACTCTTAAAGGTCCCCTATTATACTGTTTTTCATCAATATATTATAGGTCTCAGATATATACAAAACATGTCTCTGAAGTGTTTGGCTTGAAATACCAAACAGATCATTGTAGCATCCCATAAACCCCTCTGTTTCAAAAGTGCTGATTCTCTGTCTGTTACTTTAGATGAAAATAAGGAGCCACTCCCAGCGCGAGATATTTGTTTAAAAAGAACACAATGGTGCTCTAGGAGGAGATTCAGATGATAAGGTTGGCGGGTGTTACCTTGGTTGGTGATTGGCTAATGGTTACACAAGCCAAAAAAACGTTATGACATCATAAAATGGCCAAAATCTGATCAGCTCATTTTCAGACAGGTATTTATAAAAGGGCGAGTCTTTTTTCCTGAAACTTTCAGAATCTCTTTACACAGAGGGGACATGTGTTTATGTATAAAAGAAATGGAAAAGTGGATTTTGCATAATAGGTGACCTTTAATAAACCTCACGATTAATCAACAAGGCTTGCCTACCCTTCCTTCCAGATCCCACCTCTGTTCCTCTGGACACGCAGGACGCTCCATTGACTGGCGCTCTGCCCTCAGCCATCGCCCTGCAGCCGCCCACCCAGAGCAACACCTCCCACAGACCGGACACAGACCCTCACTCACCCAGCCAGTCCCCCACAGCTGCCGGTCCCAGCCAAGGGCCTGCAGGGGAGGAAGCTGCTGCTGTCACCACAGAGGTAGCCTTATGATTCAGTATGATAAGCGTTTACATTTTACCTATGATTTGAATGCAATGAAAGGACATGCAAACGTTATCGTCCTGAAGTTCTAGAGGCAAGAGATATGTTTGTCTAGTGCCAGCAATGCAACACTGTCTCTCTTTTAAACTCACTTTCACCCTGACACTTCTTATTTTGGTGATTTGAGGATAATATAGGAAAGGAAAAGCATACTCATCCAAAATGGCTGAGACTTGGAGTTTCTTCAGCAATAAGCCTATGTGTTTAACTTCTCAGAATTCCTGACTGACTGGATACTGTACTCAGGATCAGTTACCAAACATCCTAAGGAGAAGTATATTGAATGTCTGCTGTCCTTTAGCTTGGAAGTGTCACATTTCTATAATAAGGCTTGCTTTATGGGTCAACTCCTGTACCGCCCTACAGCCATGACCAACCACACCCTCACTTTGGATAACTAAGCCTCAGCCAAGTTTTTTTCCAGACTGTTTTATGTACCTAAACCAAACCCTTAACCTAACCAAAGCTTTGAACAGCTTAGCAACAGTCTTTTGAACTGCATTTATGCAGGTGAACTTGGGTCTTTGTCATACAGCAGACTAAACCACAAATAGTTTGCTGAACATCTATTGTATTAATGAAACAAATGTTACTGACACAAATTGGATTACCAAATTTAAGTGACGAGTTGTTGACGAAGTTCTGACAGACATACACATATTTATTACCTTTTAAGGAATTTACTGAAACTATTGGCAATCTGACTCTCCTTAGCACGCTCAGGTCTTGGCATGCACAAGATCCTGAGGTTGTGTGGCTGCTCACACACACACACACACACACACACACACACACACACACAATAACAGCTTAACCTAGGGCCTGCTCCTATTCACCAAGTATTTTTTCTTGCTCTTTTAAAAAACTTGTGAACAAAACTATTGAGTGTTTTATCTCTTCGTCTACCTGCTAGTCTGAAATGGTCATCTAAACCTCTAGTTCTAAGAAAATGTTTGAGGATTGTGTCAATAGCAAGCAAAATAGTTGGCAAACCCTAAAAGCTCTCGACTCTTTATTCTTTTGATGGAAAGGACGAAGAATGCAGTCAGTATCATAGTTCAAAGCTCCCATCCTCTCCTCAGCCAGTTCTCTATTCCAAGTGCCAATAATGTTTTTAATTAATTTGTTTAATGCTACAGACAATTGTGATATGACCTTGTCTGTGTGTTTTGTTTTTACTACTACTTGTCTGCTTTTCTTTGTTCCTGTTTCTTGTGTTTGTTGAGACCAATGTTCCCCCTTGTGGACAATAAAGCTATATTTCTCACCATCCTTCTCACACAGCCTGAAGCTAAACCAGAGGCTGAGACAGTTGTTACCAATGGGCTACATTCTCCTCCTACTTCCCACTCTCCTGGTGAGTAAAACAAATGTACCTTCATATTAAATTCAGATCAAAATGTAAAAAATCTCCCGGTTCAGACATTTATTATTCAAAGGGTGCATGGCTGTTCTAGATATATTGACAATAAGGGAGTTTCAGGACAGATTTCAGAAAATTGCAAAAATGCTATACATTAGCTCTCCAAATGAAAAGGTTTTAAACACCAAATCCCAGCATGACATTTTTTTAAGGTGCTCCAACTTGGTACACACGAGCATCGGACGAAGTTTATCTTCAGATTCCCAGCTCTCAGATGATGCAAACAAATGATATGTAGCATATACTGTTGCCTTTTCCTCCTGCCGGGTATAACTTCATTGGATTATAAATTATGACAGAATATTTGAGTCGACAGTGGATCTCCTTACCAACTGGTAAATCACCGTTTATCTGATATGCATGTGTGAGGGCTAACAAGTGTAACTTTATTCTTAATGAAATGTTTTTCTCAATGTCTAGCTGCAAGTGAGTCCAGTCAGCACAGAGCCAGGACAGAGGTGCAGGGGGAGACACTAGAGGTGAGAAAGCAACAAGCCCTTGTATTCATTTTTACAGAAACCTCAAACCCATGCAGAAATGTTTGGATCTTTTTTTATTGTAAGCATTGTGTCATCTCCAGAAACCCTTATAAACAGCACGGGTGAAGGTTGGGTTTGGACCTGTGTGTGTGTTATGCTGGTTGCTCTTTTTATTAGGAGGTTAAACTGACATATTGATATACATTATATGCTGGTAAATGCAATCTGGTGGAATTTCTATAATGAAATAAACACTGAATATTACCTGCAAAACTGGGAACTCTTTTCTTCAATGGCTCATTTGCAGTCTTTCTTTAAAGGGGCTCTGAGCAAAAATCATACTTTATTGTAACATAAAATAGGACATTTGTTAGTGAAGGCTTATCTGTCACATTCTTGTTTATCCAAGACTGACAAGCCCATTCTGTGCCATGTGTCCATGTTATTAAGAGGGATTTATTCATTTTTATAAACAAATGCCACACCTTTATGTTAGTTTCCCTCTTTCTGTAACTTTTTGTAAACCAACTAAGGAATCTCTTTTTGTCTAATTTCAGCCCACTAACGGGGGTCCCAGGAGGGTTTTGTTCCGCACCAAGCCAGATGTGCTCTTCCTCACCCTGCAGGATGAGATGGTAGTCACAAGTCCTTCTCCGCCAGACACTGAGGAGGAAGAGGAGGATCTGAGTTATACACGAAGACAAGCGGACAGAAGGATAGATCACAGGGATCGAACAGGCCTCAGGTAGTGGACTTCCAAAGGTCAATAAGAGGCAACAGAATATTGAACTGAAGGGACAATGTGTTAATGCTCCCTTTCCTGACTGTCTGACTATACTTGCTCCCTAAGCAGCAGCAGCAGGTTGGAGGAGGAAGATTTGAAGGAGCCTCTGTCGTACCGCAGACAGAGGAACAAAAAAGCAGAAGAGGAGCTTCATCACATATCTGAGAACCTCTCCCATCGATTAGAGGAACTTGATCAGGTGTGACATTTGTATAAGATATCATCATATTTTCATAAATGTTTTGTATCCAAGCAAAATTAAATTTGCTGTGCATGTGTGTCTAATTAAGTGTTTGTATTTACCTGTTTTTTTTATTTTCTACATGCACACTTTTTAAGCAATTGTTAGCTGCATGATTTTAAAACTATGTAGGAAAATCTGGGGAAAATATCTAACCGTGATCATTTTGACAAATAATGTTTTGGAGGGTTGACATTCTTACATCTTTCAAATGTTGTTATTAATTATCTTTTTAACGCATGCATTTTTCCTGTAGATGCTCAAACGAGTTCTGGGGGACAGTGGAGAGTCCAGTGACGTGAGAGAAGAGGACAAGCAGTCCCACCACAGTGACAGCGTCATGGAGTGCCGCAGGGCTCCCAGACAGCAAACGGGTAGATACACAAATGATGGCTAACACAGTTAACTCTTTCATGATCTTTGAAGAGCCGGAAATATTACAATAATTCTATTCCATTGTTAAATGTTATATTTTCAGGAGCACCTGGCACTGAATCCTCCCCCCGGACACGCTCCTTATCCCCCTCCCCTCCGCGGGTCCGTCGCTCCCTGCAGGGACAGTTGGAAGCTGCCATGGCAGAGGCCTTGAGTCTGGATGATGGGAGACAAACAAACCTTGCCTCTGCTCAATCAAGACGAGGAGAGCTACACCACACACCGTCTCACCGAAAACTGAGCAAGGTATTACCATGGTTATTGTTTTCAAAGTGCTTTCCCTTTAAGTTTCCATAGTCTGCGACCCTGGGCATGTGGTAGCTTAACTAGTGGCACACTAGCATGCCAAATGTCCTCTTACTCAGCAATTTGAAGATGTGCTGCTTGATTTTGAGTAGTTGGATATATTTTGGAGGTTTATGGCTAATGAACAAGATTGCTGGAATGTTGGCTTAATGATTTGAACTCAGATGTGTATATTTTTATAAGTAATTTCAATGTCCTGATTATGAGAGAAATTTCATAAATGTTGTTCTTTAATGTTGCTTTTCACATATTCAGATTTAAGTTAATTTGCTTAACTTGTTTATTTTGGTTCTATTCATCATGTCACGAGCCTACAAAATAATGTGGACTCTCTCTTTCAGTATTTGGAGAATAAGGCCTATGAGGAGGAGTTGAAAAGATATGAAGACAAAGAACGGGCCGATATAGACAAGGCACGCCTCAAAGCTCAGGAAGCTGTAAGTCATTAGTATGATGTGTAGTACAATGTAACCGTAACCAAAGTATTATGTAATCAGACATTGTTAATGACCTTATTAAAAAAACTGTTTAAAACCTAGAGACAATAGAGGTGAAACACAATCCTTTTATCATGTGCACTTTCTGAACTAAAATCAATTTATGAAATCACATATGTTCAAAATAAGTGCAAAGTTTTAATGTATTTACAGAAAAACACAGATAGTCATAACATGGTAAATACTTTTAGAATGCATTCAAACAGAAATCTACTTTCACGATAAACATATAAATAGCAACTTGTTTAATCTAATGGAAACTGACATTAACTTTAACGCCAAATGACCTCAACTGATGTTAAATGGTATAAAATGGGAAAGGAGAAATAACTTCTGCTTTGCACACTAGTCTACGAGCGGCAAAGAAAGGATATTAACCTTACCAAAAAGTCCTTTAGCTTTGAGAAAAATGAAAAAATTGCAAGTTTTTGTTTGCTTTACCTGATGGGCAATTAGTCCTAGTTTACTAGCCTTTAAATGTGTCAATGTGTGTGACTGTGTGTGTGTGTAGGAGCGCCAGTACAGAGAGGCTATACTCGGGGAAGTTTCGGACGCGTCCAGACTGTCTCCAGAGAGAACGAAGACCCAACGTAAAGCACAAACCACACCGAGACGGAGACGGCAGGAGGCCCCCAGGAAAGCTCCATCAAGTAGGTTTAGACTTGTATATTTACCACATGGACCTTTCGGCTATTATTCTAGATTTTGATTAATATTCTAAATGCATTTTTCCACACTACTAGTATTGTCACTACTGGAGAATAAACAATGCTTTTCGCTTCTTTTACTGCTTTACTCTAACTGCACATATTAAACATTATTACTAAAGCTTCAGCTAGAAAGTAAAGTTTACAGAATAGTTTTCCATCAACAAGCATCTCCCACAGCATAATAATGATCCAATTTCAGATTCGTGTGAGTCAGTTACATCTTAGACAGAGTTGCCTTGTAGCTCTTCAGGGGCCTCATTTATAACGCCTTGCGTAGGATTGACGTAGGAAGGTTGCTTACGTAGTACAAAGCACAAAAATAGGTACATACATTTTCCGATTCACAAAACCTTGCGTACCGGCGAGGGAAGTGCGTACGGCACTCCCTACGCCTGTTTCCCTTTTATAAATCACAATCGACTCGTAACGCCCATATATGCCTATACATAGTCAAAGAAACGCCCATTCATTCATTCATTTGGACTGACTGCATGAAGAAGATCGCAGGAAATGACGATAGAACAGCTAAAAAAGACATCTCACACCGTGTCAGATTTTGGTTATTGTGGGGAGGTCGAGATAAATCATATTGTTTGGTGGATGCAGTTTGAACCAGAGTAGCAGCATGGAGGTCGGATCGTCACCAAAATAAATAAATAAGTGGTCCGAAAAAAGTTTATGACAAAACAAATACACATAACCTTCCTCAGGCAGTGTGTTTGTCCCGGGGACAGGAGCCCCTTGATGAGAAACTGTAAGAAATGATCGGGGAATCCCTCCGGAGTGGAGTCATGACGACTGGATCTGAATTATTTTTGTTGTATTTGGTGGTTTGTGTTCCAGCTGTCGATCAGCAACTATATATCCATAATCCACCAGTTAAAGGAAATACAACTAATGTGTTGTGTTATATTAGCTGTACAATTTACCACATATGGTGTTCTTAGTTTCCATACCTCCTGTGTTTTACGAGCGACTTATCAAGTCTTGGCAAACGGCATAAAACACGATTAAACGTGATAGTATATAAAACCATGCTCGTATCTACAACCTATAGAAATGCAAAACGGCGTCAGTTTAGACGTAATTCTGTCCTCCTGCTTACCGCATCATTTATGAGAAAACATTTCATAACATTAACACAACATATTCGAGGTGGTTTTAAATAGCATATCCGTATTTATTTATTTCTCCAAGTTATGTTTTTGTGTGCACTGAGGAGTCTCAAACAGGCGTTTGTTTAATCATTTTAAGATTGGCTTTAATCAATGTTTGAAAATGAATTCTTCATATTTGATAAATGAGAGGTAACATTTTATTTATGGTATTATTTCCACATATTTCTCTCCATGCTTCCTTCTGCCAACGGTGTCACAGTTTCTCGTCTCTCCCGTTTGTGTGCTTAGTGCGTACGCATGGGTTAGAGTTTGCGTGGAGGACAGCACATTTTCCCGTCAAGTTAGTATTTTATAAATCGCAAACATTGCGTAGAAACTGGCGTACGCCATTTTTTGAGCGTATATCCCTTTATAAATGAGGCCCCTGGTCTGTACGAGGTCATGGTGACTCTGAGACCGAGGCTTCAGAAGTGTTTGTCTTATTAAGCTGTGGTGACTGAGCGGTAGCCTTTAAGGACACCTTCTCCTTTGGCTGACATCTCTTCTTTCGCGCTTTTCTTTTCTTTTTAAAGTTCATATTTCTCACTTCAGGCTGGTTGGCCCACTTGCCGTGATAATGGCAGAAGTAACAGCTTTGGTAGACTATCAAGAAAGGACCATTAGTCTTTTTCATACAGCGGCACTTTCTGTTGCACATGGGGCACTCCTTCATCAGCTGCAGGATGGCCTCTTCATCAACAATGTGCTGCAGATCTGGTCTGCTATGGGGAAGAAAATGAAAGGAGATACATTATTATGACACTTGTTGCAGCACGGCTAGAGGTGAAAACATGTTGTCACTACGGATTCATTGCTGAAGGTATAAAAGTGGTGCAGGGGTAAATGAAACCTCTGAATTGATTAACTGTATCACAGAACTGTCGGCCTTTTATTGAAAGCTATGTGGTTTACTTTGCACATCAGTGTTTCATGATCAAAGATATTTTTTGACTTACTTCTCCGTGGTTACAGTGCATGTCTCAGGTACATTTACTTGAATGCCTGTGAATAAATGTTGGTTTTGTTAGTCAACCGCATCTTTTTTAGTCCATTGTAGTAAATAATCTACTTAGTAAAACCAACAAAAAAAAACTCTCTATTGGAATACAATACAACTTGTATTACATCAGCAGCCAACAGTGTATAAACACTGTCTACACCTGGCTGAGGAACATCAGAAATGTACCAGACAAATAGTAAAGAACATTAAAGTTGAAGATTATTCAACGTCTCACCTGAGCTTCTGACCTGGCCTGGTGGTCCGTCCATTACTGCCGAGCTGTCATGCAGCTGTAAAATACCACACAACACAGACACATTTCAAACCCCTGGCTGCAGACAATGACTTGTACGTCAAGAAGAATGGCAGGGAACTAGAATATCCCCCTGTCCTGCTCCATCTTATATGTCCAGTGTGTAATCCTTCCTTTTAACTGTGCACATCTCCTGCAGACCCACATGAAACAGGTGTGAAAGTGCCTACAGTAAATGGCAGTCAGCGTGCATCTAGTTTAGAGAAGCAGACCGGAGTACCAGCAAGGAACCAAAACAAGGAAGGAATATCAGTTTAAGCTGTATTTCGATTATTTTTCACAGCTTCACCTTGCTGTCAGACCAGTCTGTATTTCTTTGCATAAGCGCCACTTAGCCATATACAATATTATGCCGGAAATCAGCTGTCATTGGTCTAAGGAAGACACAACAAATGCAAGAAATTATAAATGAGTGATTATAACAGTAAAGTCTACAGAAGAAGAATTTCCCAAATGGAGAACTATCGAACCAAGAGAGCAAATCCTTAATCGCTTGTGGAAAAGTTGACATACTTTATGTTCACCTCTGTGTTTATTGCCAAAAGATTTTACATTGTGTGTCACCATAAAGTAAAAATGGTAACTGCAGACAGCACCAATCAGCTCATCTCTGGTTGATATGTAGCTGCATGTGAGGCAAGGTGAGCTCCAGATGATGATGATGGTCTGAGGAGGGATTGTTCAGGACTGGTGAGAACAACAGTGAGTTGTGAATCTATTGTGGAGGCCCGGTGGCTCTCTAATGGTGACTTCTTATGAGTTTTACATTGGGGGACCCCATGTTTTTCTGGTATTGTGCTTTGTGTAGTTAGTACATGCCTGTTAAAGTATTACATATATCAATAATGGTCCTAGTTTGTTATGCATTTTTAAATAGCATGTTGACCTACATCTCCATCATAAACAAACTCGCTACCCTATACATAATTTACAGAATGTATGTGGTTTGTGTTGCACAGTTGTACTACAATTTTGGTTCTCATTGAAACAAAACAAAAATATTTCTATACTGGTTGTTTGGTAAGTTGTTCTGTATATTTGTGGACATTCAGCGCCATCTTACCTGTAGCCTTGGTACAGCAGTGGGCTTCCGCAAGTTTCTATTTTGCCTATTGGACCGAGGTACTATAGAATCCTCTTCAGAGAAACGATCACTGCAAACGCGGAGTTGTAAATGTCCAAGGTTACAAGCCACTGCTGTTCAACAATATGTTCAAACGTGACGCGGTGAAAGCTAAATGATGTGACAGGACACGTAATTGTCTGCACAGCACGGAAAAACACGTGAACTCGCCATCGTTTTTACAAGCAAATCAACAGCAGCGGAAGCGGAATACAGTCTGCAGCACACGTTCTCTGGCGTATGTATACGGAAGTTCTTCGGTGGACAGAATGTAGTGCCACATTAAAGAGCCGTCTGACGGCAAATGAAGCCGGCTAATACCTGCTGCAACCGATCACAGCATTACATTGCGTTGCTTCTTCACACTGCGTGACTTCTCCAAACTTGAGGCGTGCATACCGCCATCTCCTGTAGGTCGGCCACTTCAAACTATGCCTTTAGTGAACAACACACGATGCAACATTACACCGCCGACTTCAGCTAACATTAGCCAGTCAGTACCATAGACTGAATATATTTAAAGGTCAGTACGTGTGGTTATTGTCGGTGGATTCCGCAGCAGCTACTCTCTCTCTGGTGTAGCTGCACTGCAATCACTTGAAATATGATGCTTGTCTATTCGTGTTGTTATGGTACGGGTGCTTGAAGCGGCCAAACATGACTGAGAACCGTATTTATTTCTCACAGATGATGCATAGTAAATAGTAAAGTAAGTTATATTAAATCCAATTAAAATACTATTCGACGGTATTCTACAGTTTTTAATTATTTGAACAAAGTTGTCTCAAAATTAAAATATCATGTATGGTTTGTTTAAAACTGAACTATGTCCAGGTCCCTTTTAATGTTATTACACTGTACAGTCTTTGCGAAATGTAAAGGGAAAGTAAGCTCAATTCACATTACATAAAATATGAATATGTTATTACTATGTACCATGTCGTTAGAGCTGTCTTTCCCATTTAGATTTATCAAAAACTTTAGTAAAATCCCATTAACTTTGAGAGGTCATAGTCAGGGTCATTCTAAATAGGATTCACTGGACATTTCTGATAACCTATGAGGGACATGTCAAAAATCATTATTGTATGATACTTTAAATGTTAATCTACCATTTTTAAAGGCTTGGATTTAGTGACAGTCTACTGTGAGGTTGCAGATTTAGACCAACTATTTATACTTTAGTTGTAATATTATGGTTTGTGTTTTCTCTTCCTTTCTCCAGTGAAGATAAAGGAGAATGACCTCTTACCTGTGCTTCGGGAGGAGCTGCCCCACCTTCACATCTCCCAACAAGCCCTGGGTCGGATGTGGGAGCAGCAGATGCAGCAGGTGGACAGACTCCATGCCCTGTCGTCCCCTCAGAACCAGCGACACAGCAAGATCTCCAGCCAGGTAGGACTGGGAACTGGGTGCCAGACCAGGATGTGCCCTTTAAAATCTGGAGCATATGATTTGGTTGATGGATTGAATGTGGAAAATCCCTGCTTATCTTTCAGGTTCAGGAAGCGCAAAAGAAACATGACCTGCTTCAGGAGATCGTTCGCAAAGAGAAGGATCACAACAGGCGTCTGGTGAGCGTCAACACAAACACATTTAAAAGCTCTTTTTCACATCTAGAAAACTCATGCAGTTACAATGGCAATTTAGATGACTCTAGTAGATCAACAGATCAATACATTGAACTTTTATTGACTTTCTTGCACTGTTCTCCAATCATGTATATGTTATCTACATAGCTACAGACTTGTGAGACATTATCCCTGGCCCTACCACTGTAAATTAAAAACTATTGTAACACTGTCCTGGATATGCAGTGTTTGTCATACCTATACACTTTACCTAAAGATAGACTACTACTGACGCTAAAGTATCTCTAGCGCCCTCTGGTGGCTGGCTGCAGTACAGGTCATATAGCCGCTCCATGTCAGCCAATAGGAAATGGGAAAACCAAAAACCTCAAAGAAGCTGAACCATTACAAGCTAAAACTGTTTTTCTTCCAGAGGGACTTCAAAGAGCGTGTCGTGCAGCAGAAGTCGACCCAGAACAGACTGAAGGAACAGAGGCAGCAGATAGCACGTGCCAAGAAGTACCACAGCGAGTACCACGTCCAACACCGGGCCCGCCTCATGAGGGCCCGCACCGAGGAGGAGAGGGTGGGTAGTGAAGGCCAATACTCACTTTGAACTCCCGCTGACAGAATAAGACCACAACCAACAGATACTTACAATGTGTTTATCTCTTCATCCTTTTCTTTCAATTATTAAAAGATGTTTCCTTCATTATATACTGTGTTTAAAAATGCCACCAAGTCAGAGCAACTGTTTACTATTAGCAGATATAAGTATGGTTACGTGGTTAGATAATAAATTACAGACCCTGTGATCATCTGGCATTAGTCTTTTTGTTGATGTTTGGTTGTGTGTGTTTAGATGTTTCGGCAGCTGTTTGAGGAGGGCTTGGAGCTACAGAAGGTTCGGTTGAGAGAGCAGAAAGCTTTCGCCAGGGAGCAGCGTCTGGAGAATCAGAGACGACACCAGGACCAGATCAAGTCCATGGAGAACTACTATAAAGACCAAGTAAGACACACACCTAAATATAAACCAGGAAGTCAGCCTAACTGTGGTCCTGTTTTAAAATGGGTTTAAAACATACTCATTATTTCTAGGTGAGCTATAATGTGCCCCTCTCTTTCAGTTTTCACTACTAGCTGAAAAGCTCTCTCTGGAGCGGCAGGACATCCAGGTTCGGAAAAAAGCTCAAGAAAAGGTAAACCTTTCAATTATGACCGTGGTCACAAATAAACTGTACCGATTTCTATTGTCAGACGCCTCAAGAGCCACACATTTGTTTTGTTTTTAGGTTTTAAGTTTTTAAGTTATTATGTCTATTGCAGTGACTTCAAAGCTGAAATGTCCAAATTGAAAAGAATGTCACATTTTCTCACAGGCTCTGCTGAAGATGAAGAGAGAGCTGCGTTCAAGAATGGAGCGTGAGATCGGTGAGCTGCAGAAGATCATCATCGAGAACGACAAGGACGATCACTTCCAGGATCTGGAGGTTCAGAGGCTGCGCAGCCGGGTCCAGATGGCTTCCTTCCAGAATAACACTAGCTATCTGCACTGACCAGGGAACAGAGACTCAGGACGCTTTGAAGCTGGATTTACATCAGAGGAACATTATGCAAAAGACTGTTTCTGCCTCTCTAAAATAATGGTACGACTTTCCGGCCGCTGAACAGTACGTCTGCATCTTCCTTTGCACAGAAGAGGAAACTCTCGTAAGAACAAGTCCTGATGATTATTAATGAACTGAACACTCAGACAAGATGTAGCTATTGGCTTATTTAGCTAACTTCCTCTCACCTCAGCTGCTATACCTGAACTTAATGACATCTTGGACCGAGTCCCCTTCTTCCATGGATTTTAGTACTTGATAACTGAGAATGTTTGAAACGGTCTTTGTGAGCTGATCTCGTAGCAAATTAGTTCAAATGTTCTTCCTTTTGCCAAATAGGGACTTTTGATGCAAAGTTATTATGAATGTCCCACACCGACAGATTTTTAACTCCCATTTCACCCTTAAATGTCCGATCATCAATGATTTAACCGTGCTTGTGGATTATTTATTTGTTAACCTTAATGTTGTTTGATTTTAAATTAACCTGGTGTTCTAGGTTAATTCTGTCTGATCACCATGGGCGATGATAATCAGTCTTTTCCTCCATTGTGATTGTTTTTAACTCTCCGCCAGAACTAAAGGAATCGTAGTTTTAAACAGAAACAGGCTGTGATGTTAAAACACTGTCCACTGATATGTAACTAATGAGCACACCATTTCCCCATCATCATCTTCCATTAAATGTGTTTGCTCACTCATCTCTTCTGGCTGACACGGGTCAAAGTTCAAGGGTTACATTTGTATTTTCTTCCTCAAATATGCAGGTAACTGTTTTAGTAATTTTATTGAAGATAAAGGCTGATCCTAATACAATTGACCAAAGTATCCAAAAACATAAAGTCACTGAACAAATCCCTTAATAACGATGAATGAACATTTCTAATTTCAAAAGGTAAAAGACCAAATCCAACCTTACATTGAAGAGACTAGAGACAATTACCTGTACATGAATGCCATTTTATTTTGGCTAAACTTGTGCATCAAATGAGAAAACAAGGTGTCTGGAATAGATGATGTACAATGTGGACAGGAAAACTGAAATGGTTTATTCATAACACGTTGAGTATTTAACCTAAACTTTGTGCCCCAATTACACCTGGAAGCAACATGCTATTTGTATCTGGATGCTGACATCCCATCTAAGGGCCTACAGCTAGAAATATGAAACATGATCAGTGTGAGGGAATAAGTTCTGCTGAGTTATGCCAGGTCAGGGGGGAAAGCCATTGATGGGCACCAGCTGCTTTAATTCCCTTTTTGCCAGGATGACTTCCTTCCTACTGTCTTAGTTTCCTTGCAGAGAGTTAAATGCATTTTCAATTAGCTGGGCAGAGTTATTTATAGAATTTTTCCGAATTTGGTCGGGCTGCACAGAGTACATTTACTCTTGTATGAGATTTCAATGCAAATCAGACAAGCTTCTGATGTTATGGCACTTTGATCATCATAGTGCATCCTGCATACAATTACACCGTGCGTAGCATATCCTAATAAAGACTGCATTGAGTTTAACAACTAACATGAATCATTAAAACACGTTTCAATACTGCTTTTTTTTAGCAGATAACTGTCAAACTACATATTGGCTCAAGGACAGAAACCTTCAAAATACTAACATGTTGAAATAAGAACCTTAACACAAAGAATAAAACATATTTCCTTAGTGAACCATCTCTGCCTTTAGAAAACAATACAAAACCTCTCACTTGCATCAGATGGTGTTCTGATGGGTGTGATTATAACAAGAAGGGTGACATCTTACAGTGTAGTTGACACAGCTTCACAGAGTCCAGAGTTAATATAACCAACCTGAACGAAGGCAGCAGAAGTTCAGCAGTTTTAGTCCAGTGTGTCAGAGGTTGAAAAAGAAAACTGGAGCATATTTCAACTCAGCCTCACTGCTTGGCTGAGCTGCTTTGTCTACGTGCTGTATCTTTTCATTCTATCTGGAAATCTTCTTCCTCATCATCCAGCAGGTTAGTCCATTTTGAGCTGCTGCTGCAGAAACAGCACGTCTGGTTGACCATGAGCTTTAGTCCTATGACTCGTTTTCCCACGGTACACTGTCTGTTGCATTCCCGGCACTTCTTCAACAGCTGAAGGAGGCACTCTTCATCAACAATGAACTCTGATGAGCTGAGGGAGATAGAAAAGACACAACATAACCTTAATAACAGGTCTTCTTTCAATGAGAAAGGTTCAATTTAACAGTTTTTTTAACATCATCACACCTCCCCAAATCCACCAGGTAGTGTCCGTCTCCCACACTTAACGAGGTGCTGAATTCTTCATCTTCTTCAATATCTGTGTGGATTCATTTTAGACCTATCAGTTATGACTTCACCTTTTCCTGTTAACAATTATCTTGCAATCTTTTGACTTTTTTTTTTGCTAGTGAAGGGCTGTGTGTATGTGACTCACCTCTATTTTCTGACTTGAGGGTTGTCGCACACTTATCTTCAGTATTGATTGATTGACTCGAGGCATCTTTTGTCCCCGACTCCTTAAAATGGGACAAGGAGCAGCAAGCATCATCATGCTGCTTAGTTAAAAACAGGCAACACAATTGGTGCTGGAGAGAAATTGTTTGTATCGAAGATGTAAAACAATCGTATTTACCTTTTCAGTTTCAGGTGTCTGGACAGAAGGAGCAGCGAAGGTATCTTGCTTGACTTCATTTGATAAACTAAAAAGAGAAGCACTAGGGTTTACAATAAACTACCTCATGTCATCCAGCAGCATGTTGTGTTGACATGTCATTCATAATCACTCTGTAAATGACGTAACAAAGTTGCCTTAATTAAAAAGAACAACGCAATTAATTTCATAGTTAAATTCAATAAATAAATACTTTATTTCATGTAATATTATAATCGTTAAATATGGCATGATTTAATACAGTTTGTTTTATATGTTAAACCAATATGCGTAAGTGTTTGTTGTTTCCTGTGCCTAGGAACTAATGTTTGTTGATACACTGGACAACTCAACGTGGTTTGACGTCTTTATTTGAAGCTCTGCTGAAGTCTGTGACAAAGTTTTAATTTGACAAAGTTATACGGAAAAGGTACTTTAAGATTAATCTCCTTTCACGACAAGCGGCCAACGAGGTATTTGTTTTATGTTTTCATGTTTCCTATTTTCATTCATATATGTGTAGCACAATATGCTAATATGTTTGGCTATGTATACGTGTAATTCGTTTGTTGTAGTTCTCACGACGTAACTGAAGAGGGGAGGCTACAAGATGAAAAGTCCAAGAAATAAACGCCCGTTTTAAAGAACCGACCTGTGTCTGTGTCGTGAAGAGAGCTACATACTCTATAATCCAAATGTACATGAAAAGGCAAAACATGTCAGCAACACTATGAGGAAGTGACAGCTGTGGAAGTAAAAGTAGCAACAGTGTAAACAAATAGTAAATAATACAAAAGTATCTGTATGCAAATATACTTACAGTACCAAAAGTAAAAGGTACACATGATGTAGATTTTCTTAGAATAAAATATTACTAATACTAAATATATATAATGATATACTATTGTACTGTTTATTGAAAGTTGTATTCATTTATTAAAGTAAAGTACAAGAGGCTCAAACCTGGGATTAAGCAGCTTTTGCGTCTTCACAGCAGGTTCAGGAGGCTCTGAGTGTCTTTCTTCCATTTCTTCACACTTTCGGAGGGCTGTCTGCTATTAGCTAAAACATAATGAATATAGGAAAAGCGAAGTCTTTAGCCACAACCACATTTTACATCAATCTACTACTGAATGAAATCAATGTATTTATGAAAACTATTCAATATTACAGCTGATTAATTAAAACGAAGTATATTAACTTCATAATGTGTATATAATTACAAAACTAATTGACACATTCATCAAAAATGTTTCACTAAAAAGTTGAAATATTAATTAAAATCATATTTAAAAACAGTTTTCCCAGTTTAATTTTTGTCTACTTTATATATTGTTTTCAAAGTTAAACCATAGCTTACATATTGAAGACACATACAACAAAACAAAAAGGTAAACAAACAAGTCACATGGAAAAAGCTAAATTATTATGCTGATTTATTGTAAATTAGCTAACGTCAGAAACCACTCAGGGAGCTCAGATCACGTGTGTCTTTCGCGCCACTGAATAAAACCACTTCCGCCTCCTGTTAATGACGCAGCGGGAAAATCATCTGACTGCGTGAGTGTTTCTCAATCGCGAGTAAAGCTGCTTCAAGCATACTACGTCATATAGAGTGCCGCCGAAGTACTGTTCCAATCTCCAGCATACTTGGAAATCTACCGAGCCCGGCGTACTTCGTAGCGAGAAATTTCGAGGCTGCACATGTGTAGACTCCGCGCCGCGGTCTTAAAATCCCCACAATGCTTTCGGAGGGACCCGTTTACAGCCCCAAGGTCCTAACAGCGAGACCCCTCCTGAACTCCATCATAATGTCAGGGATATAACACTCCTGTGTAAAATGATATCTTCACAGCACCATGTCTTCATTTACAGAAGCAGCGCTGAAGCCCTCTCTCTTCGCCCGCACACAGCGCAGCCAGGCGGGGAACACAGCTCCGTCCCTCCCGGTGGAAACAGTGCAGCCGGTGTCCTGACAGGCCGCAGTTTACGCAACCCACATACATACACAATATTTCACCATGGTGAATTGAAGATAATACGGAAAGATATCATCTTACTCACTAAAAACTGCTACCAACTGCACATCATTTGAAGCTAGCCGAGTTAGCCACTCCCCCTTTTAACGTAAAATGATGCGATGTTTACTTTACGTGACTTTTTTCTCTGTATTTCTGTGAAAGGCCATCAGAGGTGGGAGAAGTACTCAGATTGTGTACTACAGTAAAAGTAGAAATACCAAAGGTTAGGAATACTCTGTTACAAGTAACAATACTGTATTCAAAATGTTACTCAAGTAAAAGTACAGTATTAAAAAGGTGTAATTTAAATTACCTTACAGAACGAAATACAGTAGGTCATATAAAACATAATGCTGTGGTCCAAAGAGCCAAGTTTATATAAGATAGAAATAAATTGAATCTTCTGCTCAACTTACTCATCAGAACAAAAGACAGTAGTACACGTGGTTCTATAAAACATAATGCTGTGAGGTTCAAACAGCATAGTTTTATTGCTCAGCTTTCTGCAAGGGTACAAGAAGTGTATTACTTTGCTTCTTTATTGTCCTTATGTACAGGTGTCAGTTACAAGCTCACAGAGCAGCTGATGTGAAAAACTATGAACACATTTACTGTAATAATAAATACAAAAACAGATAGGAAATCAAAAGAAATAAAAACATGGTGCAGTTTAAAAAAAAGATTTCTGTTTTGTACTGAATTCAATCAAAAGTCATTTACACACACACACTTACAAATGAATTTGCACATAAACCTGTACATTTGCACTTAAAAGAGTAGGGAGAGAGTTAGCTGAGCATTGTTCTAGTTTGTAACCAATTAAACCATCATTTAAGAAAATCCTTTTGACCAGAACTGGCTCTCAATCCATTTCAACAATTCATCAGATCAGTTAAGAGTAGACAAATATCTCTTTATATCACAGGCGTTCAAAGCTTGGCTGCTTAACTGGGGAGATTTCCCCTCGTCTGGAAGCTCAAAACCCCCACAACTTTTGCACTGAAGACTGAACCAGCCAGAAAACTTTGTGCCAACAAGTAAC